ATTTCCTTCTTATTGCAAGTTTTCATTATAATTTTCTGAATTTCTGTTTTATGAATGTTTAAAATTTGTCACTTCAACCCAAAAAAAACAATATATTATATAAAATAAAAATATTAATAACTTCTTTGTATACTAATAAAGATTTGTTTGAATTAATTAAAAAATAAAAAATAATATTAATAAATTAAAACAACAGATAGAATATTATCTATCAAAACATATCAAAAAAGCAAAAACTGTTGAAATAATCTCTCGATTATTATATATTTAATTCTTCTGAAAAATATATAAATAATAAATATAAAAATAAATATTAATTGAACTTCAATTAATTTAAATATAATAAAAAACAGTAATATAAAAATGTCATTCATTTGAAATTATATGAATGTTAATAAGCTTTAATTGAACATTAATTAATTTAAAAAAAGTGTAACATAAAATTTACTCATTTAGAAATGTACTCTTAATTTTTAAAAATAGTTGATTTTAAAAATTCGTCAAATTAAAAAATACTCTTAATTTTAAAAAAAGTGTTAATTTTGTAAAATTTTAAATTTATAAAAAAATTTTAAAGAAATAATAATTTAAAAAAAATTTTAATTTTGTAAAATTTTAAATTTATAAAAAAATTTAAAAGAAATACAAATTTAAAAAAAAAATTTTATTTTATTAACAGTTTTATTAACATTTTAATAACATTAAATAACATTTTATTAACAGTTAATTCAAAAGAAATAATTGTTTAAGAAAATGTTTTATTTCAGAAATAAATCTTAAACTTTGAACAATAAGAAATCAAATTTTGCGCAAAAAAAAATGTTGACTTTTAGAGAAAGAATATCAAGATTTTAATATGAGAAGCAAAATACAATATAATTTTTTATATAATAAGAAAAGTGATAAATTTCCAAGAAGAAAAGATGTTATAAATTTTTCATGACCTCTAGGAAGAGTGAAAAATTGGTTTTAGTTGAATTTTTAATGACTGTGTCTATGTGGAATATTTTTTTTGTCATGTGTTACTATTGAGAAATCAAAGGGAAGATAAAAAAAATCTGTCAAGAAGTATTTTTTTTTCTTTTTTTTTTTTTTGAAGAAAGAAAAAAGATTAGTGCAAGTGGTTGAGGTTCAGCAACCTACATGTGATGTCGAGTAGATCCAAGAACAAGGCACGGTAGTTCATAAATAATCGACGCGTCGGAGCGCGACGGTGGTTTTCACATGAAACATTGATCGGGCAATGCGGATGTAATGAATGTATACATATATATATGCATATATACATACATATAGATAGGTATATGTATACCAATCATCTATACTCTATCGTTTTCTTTAGACAATAATATATAAACTCGAGAGACAGAGAGAGAGAGAGAAAGAGAGACAGAGAGAGATTTATCGAGTCTCAATGTCTTTATCGTAGAAATACAAAAGACAATTTTTTTTATCTATACGCGTACATATGTATTTTATACTTATAAAGGGAAAAGTTTTCATTTTCTAAAAGGAAAAAGTTTTTATTTTTCATAAGAGAAAATTTTTTTACTCCCTAAATTTGAATTAGCAAAATTGCATTGATTCCCAGCGATAAGTTTACAGATTCCAATTAAAGTAGTCTGTTAGATCTTAGATATATATAAAAAAATACTATATTCTTAATTTTTCAATTTGTCTGAAACTAATTAACATTTTTTAACGTTCTCAGACTCATTTAAATCGTTATTTAATGTAGACTTCAATTTATTTATCGGTTTTTTAGTAAATATTTTTCCTTACCAGGTTTCGATCGGGGTGTCTACAACACCTGGAAAACAGAGAAATATCAGGGAATTTTTTTTATCATGATTTTGAAATACTCTTGAACAATATTTTTAATGTCTACAATTGGTTTAACAAATTTTTAATGAAAATTTAATGGTATAATAATTAACAGTGCCTTTCTCATTTGCATTTCTATTCTATTTTGATAAATAATATTAACCACAGACATATTTAATCAAATAGAAAAAGATTGACCACATAAAATTCTGAAAGATCAAAATTCAAAAGAAAAGAGTCATGTCGACGAAGCTACCAAAGAAACTGCACAAATTGAAGCAGAAATAATGGCACTGAAAAAATTCTTTTTCTAAAATAAATCAATTTGTTTTTAAAGTTCATAAATTTTTTATTTTAAAAATGTTCATTTTATATTTATCATTTATAATGTTGCTAACGTTTACAACGGTTAGGAGAAAAAATAATTTTCTATTCAGACTTTTGTCTTAATAAAACTTTTATAATGTTAATTGAACAAAAAGGTAAAAAAGAAAATTTTGTAAACGTAAAATATTGTTTTCTTAGTAAAAAATAGTTTTTTTTCTTCAAATCGTTAATGACAATCGTTGTGAACTTCACTCGCGTCATTTATAAGTGTTATCAAATTAAATGTAATATAAGCAGTGCATTTTTTGTAACCTCTTATTATGTCTATTCTTAAAACCTGAAAAAAAATTTTAGAAGGCCTGGAAATGTCAGGAAAATTTTTTTCATCTTAGTTGTAGACACCCTGTCGATAAATAAATTGAATTCTACATTAAATAACGATTTAAATGAGTCCGAGAATATTAAAAAATGTTAATTAGCTTCAGAGAAATTGAAAAATTAAGAAACGCATGAAAAATCAATAGGTTTCATTACGTTTTTTTAATGAATTTATTGAGTAGGGAAAATAATAATACTAAATGGACCAAATATTTGGTTCAGTAGATAAAATAATTTGGTTAAATTTATTTAACGTCTTTACTAATTATACTAGATTAAGTTTATAGCCAAATATTTGATTGAATCGTCAAAAAAATTTGTTTAATAAACCAAATATTTTTTCGAATGGGATAAATATTTAGTTAAAGTTTAAACTGAATCATTTAAAAATTTCACTGACATAATAAAACTTTTAGCTATTCGGTTAACAACAGCTTCTTTTTCGTAGACAAAGCATTTGGTCAGATGAACCTAAATATTTGGTTGAATAGAACAAAAATAGAATTAAATAAACTAAATATTTGTTTAAATAAATCAAACTTTTTGACTGTATATGGACCAAACGTTTGATTTAATCAAACAAAAATGCAGAATAATTATTACTATGTTTATAACTTTATATTCATTTTTATTAATTTATTAAGTACTATTTTATAATTAATTAATTATTTCAATTATTAACCTATGAATAATTTCACTGGTTATTACATTCTTTTATAAATGAATCTACAACAAAAATTTCCATTTTACTCCACTTATAATTTTTTTTATGCAAAATCGAATTATAATAAAATGCATTTTTGATTATAATTTATTAAATTCAAATTAAGTTTAGATAAAGTGTAAGGTCCTTTTACTATATATAGTGGAATTATTTTAAGAATCTGAATGTTTCATCTACCAGTGGTTATTATTATTTATTGTTTATTTTATTGTTTAAATTTTCTACATGCACTCGCTTTTTCTGGAATGTTGCATTTTTTATACATCCTCATTATTTTGCATACTATTTTTATTTGTTTCATTTTAAAATAGTACCTACATTTTTTTCCTTTTTATAATGTGCAAAAATTATTTTATTGCAAAAAAATGCTGTTTGTTTTGCAATTTTCGTGTTTGTGTATTTCTTATTTTATTTACCCACTTTTTGTTTGTTTATTTGTTAAATGTTATATGTTTTTTCTGTGCTAGTGAGTGATTTTTGTTGAAACCCAAAAAGAGAAGTATTTATGATTTTGAAGATTTATATTTAATTATTTTATTGCAAAGTGTTTATCATTATTTATTTTTTATTATTTGTGAATTTCTTTATTTAATTTTTATTGTATTTATTGTTTAATTAATTATTATAATTAATTAGTATCATTAAATTAATATTTTTACTTTCTACATTCTACACTCTCTAAATCTGAATAAGTGAAAATTCATTTAAATTGGGAATTTTTCATCTGTGCAGATTTAATAATTTTAATAATAATTATTAATTATTACAGTTATTATTGCAGTATGTATTAACTCTAGACTTCCTAACTGGGGTAATTGATACTTTACTCAAAGTTCAAAGTATATTCTGTAAAACACTCTTTAAATCTAAATCAATGAACTGAAGAAGAAGTAAACTCTATTCTTACTGATTTCAATCAGTAAAATTGCACTGAAAATCAGATAAAACTATTTGAAATATCAGTTATTTTTCACTGATTGGACAATCAAAAATTAACTGAAATGTTGAATTTGTGTCACTAGAATTTTTAGTAATTTTTTAATTAGCCAATCAGTGAAAAATAATTAGAATTTTTATAATTTTTAACTGATTTTTAGTGAAATTTCACTCATTGAAATGGTGATAATAGAATCACTGATTTTTAGTCAAATTTCACTAATCTTTAAATGAAATTCCACTGATTTAGATTTGGAGAGTATTATTCTGGAGATTTTCGGATATTTTCTTGGTTTTTTTTAATTCTTTGACCACATTTTTCAATGAATCAAAAAATTAAAAAACGTAATTCTTTTCCTTATTAGGAAACGAATAAAATATGTATTTTATTAACTTATTTTCGAATAAAGACAAACGTTCCAGCAATTAGTCAAATTTGGGGTAATTTAGTACCCCACTTAGGGAGTAACATATAAGCCAGTTATGTTAGGGAGTCGAAAGTTAAATAATATTAATAATTGTAACATAAATAATAATAATTATTATTATAAATTATAGTTAATTATGTAAATTATAATTAAATAAAAATAATAAAAGAAAATAGTAGGAAAACAGTAAAAAAATAATATTATTTCAACAATTCTGCAGAATTTGGACAATTAAAAGCAGGTAAGTACCACATTTTTGTTCTTGTTGGGATTTTTACGAATTTGAAATTTGTAAATTGTAAAATTAAAATGTTATTTAATTTTTATGCTGAAGAAGAAAAAAAAGTGACATCTGAAGGACATTTTGGCATGTTTGGTTCCAGGGTGACATATTCGGAGGCCTAAACAGTGGTCTACAGGACGGTCTGCTTTCTAGGGCAGAGGCTCTGGCTGCGGACCTTGGAAAACACAATGGGGGCACACCAATGCCCCTAAAGCATGATCCCGTCTCTGTCTATCATCATGGGGCGCACATGCCAACCCCCCATCCTAATAATCGGCCACATCATCAGGTACAATCACACCTCTTTGTGAGTGCGATTGCAGAATTTTAATATTTACATATATATATAATCATTTATTCTATTCTCATCTTTCTTTCAAAATTGTCGTTTCTAAACAAAAATTTTTAATTTTTAACTTAATGTTTATTCCATTTTTTACTTGAAAAAATTCCACTGAAAACTTTATCACTTATAGAGGTAATAATAATTTCCGTCTGGAATTCCGTTGGATTTTTGACAGAACTCCTGTAGAATTCCAGTTACATTTTTACTTAATTTGAATTTCGAAGATTTCTTTTGAATTTTGATAATACATAATTTCCTTCGGAATTCGTCTTGTATCACGACGGTAATTTTTTTCTGAATTCACAGAAAAAAATTGGACTCATTTTTGTTGCAACTAAATTCCATGTGTAATTTTAACTGAAATTGGAAATTTTATCTGAAAATAATTTTAATCTATGTCAATTAAATGGTTTTTGCTTCAAACAACTGAAAGTATAAAAATTCCAATTATAATTTCAGTCGGAATTGTAACGGATTAACGACGAGATTCCGCTGGAATTTCGATGGAATTCTAAAAAAGAAAGACAAGTGCATTTTAGACGGAAAATATTTCTGGAATTCCACTAAAATCTCCAGTGATCATTTTCAGGTGGATTTTTTCCAAGAGTGATTTTAAAAAATGGAATTTTAAAATATTTAAAATTCATTCAGAAAATAATTATACTAAATTTTGCTTTAATTGTTAATTTTTTATAAATATTTTAGACTAATTTGTTATAATTAGAAAATTAGATAATCCATGAGACTTTCATTTCCCTGAATTCTTGTAATTCACTCTGAGAGAGAGAAATTAATTCATCTAAATTATAGTTTCATTATAAATTATTGAATTCCTAACTCTAATTTTATATTTTCATAATTATATGACAAAATTATACATATTACTTTTGAATTTTATAATGCAGTACCTATAAAATTAATTTGATTACGTTCTTTAGGGTGTTTAATAAATTGTTAATAAAAATAGTGAAACTTCCCTTAGGTCGTTGAACAGTGATAAAAGAGATTATTTACTGTATTAAAAATGTATTATCATATTTAATGATATCATGACAATTGTAATGACTGTGATTAATAATCTTCTGGTAGTACAACATGAACAATTCATAAAGGGTAGTTAAATGGTTTCTCTCTTAAATATTATACAGCCTACGCTAATATTGATAAATTTCCTCATATCACAACTCATTGATATCAATAATTAATCTCTAGAATTATATTCTTTTTTTACTTCTACATCCGGGGGTGAAAATACGTATTATAAAATTTACATTAAAATTTTAATATAATTTTTTAACATTCTTCATTATTTTTTTTCTACTTAATTATTAATGATTAAAATTTTCGTTTTTACAAATTATTTCTATTATTATTATTATTATTATTATTTTAATTGTTACTACTTAAAATTATTATTTGGTGCAAATTTAATAGTAATTATTATTACTTTGATTTAATTATTACTAATTTCCAATTAATTATTATTACTAATTTATTCATAATTTTAGTTAATTATTTACTTAACTTTTATTATTTAATTATTTTTTATTGTTATTCATTATTTTTTCTTTTTGATCTCTAATTCATTTTGAAAAAATGAATTTTTTCTAGTGTTTTTTGTTTAAATCTTCAAAATACTACATATTCTTTTCTTATAGTTAATAGTTTTTTAAAACTCATCTGTTAATCAAGTAGCGAACATTCTGACGTAATTTTCTTCCAAGTTAAAAACTTTTTATAAAATCTAATTTTTATTTTTACTTTCACAATCATTTTCTTTATCGTTTTGACAAATTTTTATTTTTCCTATCATTTTCATTTTGTTATTTTTTCATTTTTACTTTCATTTTCGTTTTCATTTTGACAAATTTTTATTCTTCTTTTCATTTTGACAAATTTTTTTGCATTCATTTTCACTTTACACAACAGTTTTTTTAAAATGTATTTTCTAATTTTTTATTTTCTAAAAATTTTTTTTCTAATAAACGTGAATTTCTAAAAAATTTTTTTCTAATGAAGGTGATTTTCTAATTCTCCTTCTTCTAATAAAAATCAATTTTTAGAAATTTCTTTTTCTAATAAAAAAATAGTACTAAATAAAGATAATTTTCAAAAAAAATTTTTTTGAACAATATTTTTTGTAATGACGATTAAAAGTTATACGATTAAAAATAAAATTTACGAAAATTTTTTAATTCTTTAAAAAAATATTTGAGATTTCGTTAAAAATGATAATAAAAAATAGAAATTATGTAAATTTTTTAACAAAATTGAAAAATAATCTAGTTAAAAATCGTAATTAACAAATAGAAATTATAAGGATTTTTTTCCTACAGATATTTAAAATTTTCTAAAAAAGTGTTTTATAAATAAATTAATTTTGGAAATTTTAGTAAAAAAATGATGCAAATTATTTTTTTTTTCAAAGGCCAAGAGAATTTTGTTAATAAATTATGATAAATAGTTATTTTATAAAATTTTTTCTTGTTTTTCAAAAAGAAATTTATATTTTTTTAAACAAAAATGTGATTGAGAAACCAGAAATATGCAAAATAATTTCTATTTCTATCTTAATTTTTTAACAGTTTTTTAACTTTAATCAAAATTATGGAATTTTATAAATTTTAGGAAAATAAATATTAGAAATCATAACTTTTTAGAAAATATTTTTTAGAAAAAGTGACCACCTACCATTTTCACTTTCGTAGATTTTTATTTTCTTTGGTACATTCATATTTTCGTTTTCATTTTGACAATTTTTTATTTTTCCTTTCATTTTTACTTTAGTAGATTTTTATTTTCATTTTCACTTTGATAGATTTTTATTGACACCTTCACTTTGACACATTTTATTTTCACTTTTATTTTCGTTTTCATTTTGACAATTTTTTATTTTTTCTTTCATTTTCACTTTAGTAGATTTTTATTTTCATTTTCACTTTGATAGATTTTTATTGACACCTTCACTTTGACAGATTTTATTTTCACTTTTATTTTCGTTTTCATTTTGACAATTTTTTATTTTTCCTTTCATTTTCACTTTAGTAGATTTTTATTTTCATTTTCACTTTGATAGATTTTTATTGACACCTTCACTTTGACAGATTTTATTTTCACTTTTATTTTCGTTTTCATTTTGACAATTTTTTATTTTTCCTTTCATTTTCACTTTAGTAGATTTTTATTTTCATTTTCACTTTGATAGATTTTTATTGACACCTTCACTTTGACAGATTTTATTTTCACTTTTATTTTCGTTTTCATTTTGACAATTTTTTATTTTTCCTTTCATTTTCACTTTAGTAGATTTTTATTTTTATTTTCACTTTGATAGATTTTTATTGACACTTTCACTTTGACAGATTTTATTTCCACTTTGTCAAAATGAAAATAAAAAATGTATCATGTCGAAAGTGGAAATAAAAATTTATCAAGCTGAAAGTAAAAATAAAAATCTATCAAAGTATGAAAGTAAAAGTGAATATGAAAGTGAAAGTAAAAATGAAATTACATAATCGACTGTTGATCTAAATTTTTGCCATACAGACGGAACGAAATGAATGTCATTGTAAGGGAAATGTAAATAAATAGTTTTGGACCTGTAAGACATTAATATAAAGCATACGGTGACAGAAATGATATTTGTAAGCGCATATATATATGTATCCTGTATCGCCAGGCCACCCATTAAGTGAGTGTCAACCCTATCTCTCGACTGTTTTTTTCCTCATTCTCTCTTTCTCTGATTTCACGCCCTCCTGCTCACAGATGGTCGAGCAGTAAGTGTCGCATAAAGTTTGTTTTTATTCGCAAGGCTGACGAATTCAATAACCCGCGGTCCGTATGAAACCATGTAATACGTTCTGCATTAGATGCACGGACGCATGTAACGAGTTTCATATATGGATATGGCAGAGGCCGAAAGGAGAGAGAGAAAGAGAGTGAAAGCAACTAACCCTATACTGTCGTGTCAACGTAATGATGAAATATTGTAGGGCTCCTTCCTCCCCTTTCACATGTATTTCATGAGCCCCTCGTCCACTTGGTGTTTGCCATCAAAAGACACCCCTTGCAATTTTGATGTAACTACTGTGTACGACCCAGCCCCGAACTCAAATTCGCGTTTTCCAATACACAGTTGCCTGTATACGTTACCTATAACTTATATAGATATATTTTCTCATTCTCCTCATCATTTACTCCCTCTTTTATATGATATATTAACGCTCTATTGATATATCCCTATAATAGGTAAACTCGGCAATGACATATGGTTTTCAAAAATACCCTGCAAAAAATTTCACGTCATTCACATTCTTTTGAAAAAACAATTTTAGTAGATTAAAAAAAGGGTAAGAAGGTGAAAAATAGGCAAAAAAAAGGTAGAGCCAGTATTGACCCAGGATTGGTATTGTTGCTTCTGAAAATATTTTGTAATCTACTCTAATTTTTTTATCTTACTAAAATAGTCTACAAAAAATACTTTAACAAAATTGAGCTAATTTTAGGCCAATATTGATAATGTTGTCAAATAATAACACTTCTAATATAGTTTGCAAAAAGAATAACTTATACCAAACTAATATTTTGCAGAACTTTGCTAAGTTCTGCAAAATATTGGAAAACAAATGTTTTCCTTGAAAAATGGTAAATAATGCCTTGAAGAATGGTGATATAATACGGCAAGAGTGTTTTGCTAACTAGTGCAGGGCTCGGATTGTTCGACTTTTTTGTGAAAAAATGCGACTAATCCACTTTTTTCACATTTTTCAATTACTTTTTGACTTAAATTTTAAATAGCAGAAATCTTTATTTTTGTAAATTATCTTTATCTTCTTTATTTACTAAATAATATTCTTCGTATTTCATTCTTTCATTAATTTTGTCTGTTCACACTTTGAAGTTAGTTTTTATCTATGCTTTTTTTTCTTTAAAAAATATTG